ATTATATCTGCACTGTTGTTTACTTCACTGGTTTGCACTCTATCTGCCATGTGCCGTGTGCTGCTTTATATTTTTTTTTTTTATATATTTTTTTACATTTTACCTTATTTGTATATTTGTATAGTTGTATTTTATACTTAATCTGTATATCTGTATTTATGTTCTACTGTTAGTGTTATCTGTATGCACCAAGGGTCTGAGAGTAACGCAATTTCAATTCTCTGTGTGTATGTGCTGTACATGTGGAAGAATTGACAATAAAGCAGACTTGACTTGACTTGACTTGATTAATATCCATTGCAGAGTTGATGTTATACGGCCCGTTCAATGAATCGCTGGCCGTCTCAGTGATCAGCCGTAAAACAGTGATTCTGTCCAAATTCCCTTTAAAATCTTAAATGATTCCCTTTGAGCTAAATTGACCTGTTTCCCTTACAATTATGTGAGTACATTAAGTTAATCTAGAATGAGAAATGTTATCTTGGGAACTAGATGAATTAAAATAAGTAAAAAAAAAATGTTTTGTTTCAATTAACTTTTACTCTATTTCCAAAAAAATTTTTTTTATGGTTTTAGTTATTGTTAACTATAATAACCCTGAGTTGCACTGAATAAGCAAGTGTTTGGTAAATAAATACTAATGTTTTTCCCAAAAAAGGGTCTGAAGGCTGGTTCCCTTCACTTTCCTGGAACGGCGTCCACTTATCAGGGTGAAAGTGCAGTCGTGAGAGAAGTGGAACCTGAAAACTACAATTACAGCAACGAAACGGCCTGGCGAGAGAACGTAGACAAAGTGATGAAGTCTTGGTTCGGGGAGCAGGACCTGGACTTCGTGTCCATGTACTTCGGTGAGCCTGACAGCACGGGACACAAGTACGGGCCAGACTCCCCCCAGTGCAGGGCGATGGTCCGACAGGTGGACCGTACGGTTGGTTACCTGCGTAGCGCGGCCGAGAAAAACGGCCTGAGCGAGCGGCTCAACATCATCATCACGGCTGATCACGGCATGAGCACCGTCTACCGCAACGGGCTGGTGGACGAGATCGTCCTGTCCAAGATCCCCGGCTTCTCTTTCAAAGATCTGGACTTTCATATCGTGGATTTCGGACCGGTGGGACTCCTGCTGCCTAAAGAAGGACGGATTGATAAAGTGTTCAACGCCCTGAAAGGCGCTCACCCGCATCTACATGTCTATAAGAAAGAGGAGATTCCCGCTCGCCTGCATTACTCCCATAATGACCGCATATTACCCATCATCCTCTGGGCCGATCCAGGATACGTCATCAATGGGGTGAGCTTTTCATTTACAGCTTAATGCAAGTTTTCATCATGTTCATCAAGAAATTAACAAGCATTAATTAATTAAACATTATTTAATTAAACATAAGCAAACAAGCAAGCAGACAGACAGACAAACAAGTAAATAAATAAATAAATTTGCATTACAGTAATGAGAATTAGAGGTTAAATGTTGTAAAATGCCCTGAAAATAATAGATAAAAAGTTACAAAATGAAATCTAAATAAAAAATATAAAATGAATGAATGAATGAATGAAATTGCTGTGCAGTAATAAGAATGTGGGGTACTAAATCCCCATGAAAATAGTGAAAATAAAATACAAAATTTATTATAAATAAATACATATTTTGCATTACTGTAATGGGAATTTGGGGGTAATTGTGCTAAATCATCATGAAAATAAAGTACAAAAAATAATTAATTATATTAATGACATATTAATCTGATATTTTGAGTAGTAGTGAATCTCAGTAAAACTGTCAAAAATCATCCTAACAATCAAAATAAATAAAGAAGTTATATTTGCCTAAATAAAAACTTAGTCTACTTAGAACCACTGAGAGATTTTACACTGTATTTAAAAAAAAAATGTTACACTGTAATATTTAAATGAGAATTTAACATATTTTACTCCCCAATTCTGTAATGCCAATAAATATTTATAATTTTATTGGCTAACTAATAGTCTTAAAATAGGCTTCCTTTTCTTTACATATACTGTGTATATATATATGGACATGCTTTGGTGAAAAGCCTTTCTGTTGTAACTTATATCCATAAAAATGCAAAAAGTTTGCTCCTTGAAAATGAAAACATGAATTATTTCAATCTAATCACAAGCATTCAAACCAAACTAAATCAATTGGTTGAAATCTATGATGTAACAAGTTTTTTTTTTGCCCTTGACTTGACTCAACTTAATTTACACTCCTGGCAATCAATCGATCAATACTCTGTTCCCAAGATGACCCAAGAGGTCAGGTCAAGCGCATGGACACTTCGAGCTCCTGTTGACCTTTGACCTACAGATGATCAGCTGATCTGCATCACCCTCTGCTGTTTCAAATAGCAATCCACCATACTACTCTGTGTCTGTAGTATACTGCACGCAATGAGCAAATATGCATGAAATAACGATGATCTTCTGCTTTAGTCAAAATGTTCAGTATCCAGCAGAACATTTCCAGTGTTATGTTTGAACCAGATGTTTTGTAAATAACTGAACTTATTTTTCTTTTCTCATTAGATGACTGAACTCTCAAAAGTTAGTCGTCTTTCAATAAATTTGACTAAAAATGCTCATATTTATTTCCAAGCAAATAACTCAATGCCACTTGATGAATTAAATACGCAGCATGATGATGTCATGTGACAAATATTCTTCCATTTAAAATGTAGTTTAGCATGCTGGCTTACATGCTATTTTTAAACTAGGCAGTATGCATATAATAGTCATTAATACAGCATTTCATTTCAAACATAAAATTATCACTGTAAAGCAGTGTTTATTTTTTTATCATTGAGATACTATTATAGTTGTTTATTAGTATTTTGAATCAGTTTTTCATTTTATATTTTCCTTTTAATTTCATTTTCATTTTAGTTAACATTTTAGTACTTTTGCTGTTTTTTGTTGTTATTTTTGATCGTTTTTGTTTATTTTATATGTCTATAGTTTTTTTGTTATTTTTTTTATTTTAGTTTTAGTTTTAGTACATCAAGTTAAACTACATTAAAATGAGAAATTTTGCTTTGGCAACAAGCTGAAATATTTAATTGGATTTCCATTCACATTCATTTTATTTCAAGTAACAGAAATGTTTTTTTTTTTTTAATGGTTTTAATTTTAGTTTCAGTTTTAGTTTACTGTAATAACCCTGCTGTAAAAGTGTATATTTTGGGTGCTGATGGTTTCAATAAATATGCATTTGTTCATGTGCCTTTATACTCTCTATTTTCCTGCAGTATTTCCCAGTGCAGTTTCATAAGGGGGAGCATGGCTATGATAACCAGGCTCTGGACATGAAGCCGTTCTTCAGGGCCATGGGGCCGGATTTCCAAAAGAATCTGGAGGTGGGGCCTTTTGAAACTGTCAACATTTACCCGCTGATGTGCCACCTGCTGAAAATCACACCTGAACCCAACGACGGACACCTGAACACCACACGACACATGTTGACCTCCTCCATACAGACAGAGAGTGAGAACATCTGTTCATACACGTCTGTCTGTCTATCTGTCTAACTATCTATCTATCTATCTATCTATATATATATATATATATATGTCTGTCTGTCTGTCTGTCTATCTATATATCTGTCTGTCTGTCTGTCTATCTGTCTAACTATCTATCTATCTATCTATATATATATATATATATATATATATATATATCTGTCTGTCTGTCTGTCTGTCTGTCTATCTATCTATCTATCTATCTATCTATCTATCTATCTATCTATCTATCTATCTATCTATCTATCTATCTATCTATCTATCTATCTATCTATCTATCTATCTATCTATCTATCTATCTATCTATCTATCTATCTATCTATCTATCTATCTATCTATCTATCTATCTATCTATCTATCTATCTATCTATCTATCTATCTATCTATCTATCTATCTATCTATCTATCTATCTATCTATCTATCTATCTATCTATCTATCTATCTATCTATCTATCTGTATGTCTGTCTGTCTGTCTGTCTGTCTGTCTGTCTATCTATCTATCTATCTATCTATCTATATGTCTGTCTGTCTGTCTGTCTGTCTGTCTGATGAATCTTTCTTGTGTTTCAGATGAAGGCTCGTCTGGTGATGATATTCTCAGCAGTGTTTTCATTGGCCTGGGATCTGTCGCTGGTTTTCTGTTCATTGTCTTTGTTGTTCTCTTAAGCCGTGGTATTCACAAACGCAGGGGGAACAAAAGCAGGTAGGATGTAACAATGGACACCTTTTCATTTAGAATTTGTCTTAAATCTCATTTTGTTAAAAAAGGTGAGAAAATCATATTGTTGAGAGTATTATGAATTGTATCGCATCATTAGTTGAGTGAATCATACATCCATAAAAGCATGTTTATTATACTGCCGCAGCTTTATTTAGCTCATTCTGCTCAAAAGAGACTAAATAAAAGTTTTTTTTTTTTTTTTTACACAATTATTATTAAAGAGATAAAGAAATACAAATTCCTAACATTCATTACTAACATTCATTACATCATTACTAACCTGATTTTGCCTTTACAGACAAGATCTTGAATGTTGCACTGAATGATCTGGATGTGTTTTGTATTCTTGGTTTACTGTACAGTTCCACAGACGAGGGGAAGATTGACAAGTGTCACGCTGAAACAAAACAAACTGCATTTTAGAACGAGGAATCCAGAGGAAGACACACACACCCACATTTTGTAGTACAAACAATATTATTGCTGCTGTCTGTTAATTTATCAAAATCACTTGTTTGTTTCAATGTCATTTTATATTAAATAAAATGTGTATTTTGTCATTTGAAGTATTTTTGACTAATGAAAAGGGAGCTTGGGATTTGCCTTATTCAGTCATTGACTGTATTATTGCTATCATTACACTATTTTTATAACATTTTAATTTGGCTCTCATTTCCACTGTTACTTTATTTTACATTGTTTTAACATTTTCACCTTTACTGACCTCAGATTTTTTTTATTGATTTATTACAATATACATTGGGGGAAATATTTATTTGGTCCCCTGCTGATTTCGTAAGTTTGCCCACTTACAAAGCAATGAAGAGTCTGTAATTTTTATGGTTTGTTTATTTTAACAGATACAGTGGGTACGGAAAGTATTCAGACCCCCTTCAATTTTTCACTCTTTGTTATATTGCAGCCATTTGCTAAAATCATTTAAGTTAATTTTTTTTCCTCATTAATGTACACACAGCACCCCATATTGACAGAAAAACACAGAATTGTTGACATTTTTGCAGATTTATTAAAAAAGAAAAACTGAAATATCACATAGTCCTAAGTATTCAGACCCTTTGCTGTGACACTCATATATTTAACTCAGGTGCTGTCCATTTCTTCTGAGGGGTCTGAATACTTTCCGTACCCACTGTAGAGACAGAATATTAACCAAAAAAATCAACAACAAAAAAAACACATTATATAAAGGTTAGAGATTGATTTGCATTTCAGTGAGTGAAATAAGTATTTGATCCCCCTACCAACCAGCAAGAATTCTGGCTCCTACAGACTGGTTATGTGTCCATGTAGAACACAGATTAGTCCTGCCACTTTAAGAAGTTACTCCTAATGTGTAAAGACACCTGTCCACACAATCTGTATCTTCCATTCCAACGTCTCCCACCACCATGGGCAAGAACAAAGAGCTGTCAAAGGATGTCAGAGACAAGATTGTAGATCTGCACACTCCCTGCTCAAGAAGGCACATGTACAGGCCCCTTTAAAGTTTGCCAAAGAACATCTAAATGATTCAGAGAAGGCTTGGGAGAAAGTGCTGTGGTCAGATGAGACCAAAATTGAGCTCTTTGGCATTAACTCGACTCGCTGTGTTTGGAGGGAGAGAAATGCTGACTATGACCACAAGAACACCATCCCTACAGTCAAGCACGGAGGTGGAAACATTATGCTTTGGGGCTGTTTTTCTGCTGAGGGTACAGGACAACGTCACCACATTGAGGGGCAAATGGATGGGGCCATGTACTGTAAAATCTTGGACGAGAACCTCCTTCCCTCAGCCAGAACACTGAAGATGGGTTTATGGATGGGTCTTCCAGCATGACAATGACCCGAAACATACCGCCAAGACAACAAAGGAGTGGCTCAAGAAGAAGTACATTAAGGTCATGAAGTGGCCTAGCCAGTCTCCAGACCTCATCCTATAGAAAATCTGTGGAGGGAGCTGAAACTTCGAGTTGCCAAACGACAGCTAAGAAACCTTAAGGATTTAGAGACAATCTGTAAAGAGGTGTGGACCAAAATCCCTCCTGAGATGTGTGCAAACCTGGTGACCAACTACAAAAAACGTCTTGCCTCTGTGCTTACCAACAAGGGTTTCTGCAACAAGTACTAATTCATGTTTTGCTTGGGGATCAAATACTTATTTCACTCACTGAAATGCAAATCAATTTCTAACCTTTATATAATGTTTTTTTCTGGATTTTGTGGTTAGTATTCTGACTCTATACGTTAAAATAATCCTACCATAAAAATTACAGACCCTTCATTTCTTTGTAAGTGGGCAAACTTACAAAATCAGCAGGGGACCAAATAAATATTTTCCCCACTGTGTATATATACAGTGCCGTGAAAAGGTTTTTGCCCCCTTCCTGTTTTTTTTTTTAATTTCTTTTTTGCATATTTGTCACACTTAAAAGATTCAGATCATCAAACAAATTTTA